GAGCTTTAGTGTGTATTTACACTAAAAAACTGAAAGAGCCCATCATACCTCTGAAAATTAAAAACCATGTTTCGTACACATTTACTTGCTGCCTGCTGGCAACATAGAGACATGGCCAACAATCTGCACTTCCCAAATAACCCCTTCACATAGTGTGTAGAATAATCTACAATGTCACATACCTTTGTAAACACTAGGATTTTATACAGGCATACAAAATCATACCTAATTACTTCTTTTAAAAACAGAAGTTTGGAAATTCCTTTATTTTCTCTTCCCGTTTCCTGACCTGGAGTGCTTCACCGTAGCTATTACTTCCCTGTGCACCCTCTTCATGCAAGTATCTTGCTCATGTAAGTCCTCCTTTGGGGATACTGCAAGGATAAAATATTCCCTGTAATTATCATATTTGCACTAAATTGGATACAGTAACATTCAAACTAGACCCTTTTTCTTGTTACTATACTTAAAATATTAAATGATGAAACAAAACCTGATACATTAAGATTGTTTATTTTAAATAGTATTCTGAAACTCGTGGTTATATGCAAATTCTCAAACTATGAAGCTTAAGATTGCGTGGTGACTGTCTTCACAAAATAAGGCTGCTTGGTCAATCTTATCAGAGCTGATTCCACTGAAGTTTGAGTATTGAGAGTACAGGATTGCTTCAAGAAAGTTGTAACCCATGAAGGCACCATCATCAAAGGAGGTAGGCATTCCCATCTCCTGATAAAACACCAGTCAAGGGCCCCCTCAGTTACCATGTGACATTTGTGGAATTTGAGAGCAACACCAGCATGGAAAGATCTGAGTGAAACCAACAGTCATTGTGGGAAGGCGTCTTTATACTGCACCCAAAATCTGGAGACATGTACCCACTGCAGGGCTCTTCCATGCCAGTCACACTCGCTGGGTTTTATTCCTCACTCAACTGGGCTAGGTAGGAGAAAAAAAAAGGAAAAGGGAAAAAAGAAGGAAAGAAGAAAAAAAGACAGCTTATGCTGCTACAATAATTTGGCAACAATCTTTAGAGACAGATTTTTTTTTTTTTAGGGATAATTAATAGGCATGAAGAGGATTTATGTTAATGCTGAAACTTCCATTTAGGTACTAGATGCAGAGATGGGAGGAAATGCATTATCCCTCAGCCAACAGACAGAAACTTTTCATTTCTCTGAACTGGCATGGAAGGCAGATGAACTATTGCCTCCTCTCACGTTCCCCAAATACCAAAGGTAGAAATATGCTTCATGAGTTTGCTTTATACACAGACAGTTAAAACTACGTCTCAGTAACGTTCCCCATAAAAACCTTACCAATAGCACAGTACAGCAATCAGTGGAACAAAATTAAAATGACAGGAAGGAATATTTACAACTGTATTGTATCGAAATTGCAAGATCAGAAATTTCTAAAGTGCGAAGTTGGCTACAGACTACACCGATACAGAGACCTGTTGTCTTGCTTCCAGTACGAACCACCACCATGGTTACAGAGGCGCCACATATCCATGCTGAACACTGAAGTGACCAAATGTCGTCCCGAGGCTCACAGGCAAAATCTCCTCTACCCAGTCCAGTGGGAGGCAGACATCAGCATCCAAGGGCCAAATCTGGTCCCTTGGTTGCAGGAATGTCACATGCTGGATGGAGATTAACTACTGTAAACCCAGGAGCACAAAACATGGAGGAAGTGCATTTAAATACATAGAGGAAGGTATTTAAATAGAAATCTTACAAACAGCCTAATGGTTTGTTTTATAGTAGACTAAAGACAATCACTGCATTTTTAAGAGCACAAAATAGAGGGCCCAGCGCTCTATATTTTATTTAGCTGCAGTTTTGTCCAGACTGGGAACAAAATTTTAAAGACTATTTACACCAATAAGATCTGCAGGTTTAACCAGGAGAGCCTCTAAAACCAGAGAGAGGCCACAAAATCAGGCTCCTGCAGCATTAGAGCATTAAAAAGTCACCATTCAAAATACCTCATTCTTAAAAATTGCTAAAGGAAATCATAGTAGAAGGAATGTGGCTGCTAGGTTTCCAGATTAACTGAAACTCCCAGTCAATTCACCCATATTCTGAAGCATATTGGACAGTTAATCTACACACTACTTACAGTAATTCTTGCTACCACCTAACAAAACCAAAAGAGAAAACTGCTCGTTGACTCACAGCCGTCTTTATTTTGCAAACTAAACAGTCTCCAGTTTCTTATTTGGGGGTAAAAGTACCTAATGTTTGCCATAGGGTTTTAACAACGAGTAAACGAAGTTTGTCTTGAAAAGCAACACATGTTAAGTGAATTAGTTTCTTCCATTAGTCTATTTTTAAACTACTACATCATACTTACTGAAACAGCTATGGCATAAGAGGCTACACAGCTAGACTTAAGTAATGCCATAATCTGACACAATCCACTTGGTTATGCCCCAAACTATTTACAGTGAACTTGATTCAAACCAACCACTTAGATCGAGAAAGCATCTAAAGAATTCTAAGCTCATAAAATAATCTTCCCTAAGAAGTTGTTTGGGAATGATTTAGTCAAGATCTGTTCGTTTTATTTTAAGACTTTCAAATATCGAAATACACCCACGGGCAAAAGCCTCATTGGAAATAAGTCCCAGGACCTACACATGCATTAGCAGACAAAGGTAAGTCTGTGCCACAGCGTGTAGCAGATGGAAGGAAAAACGAGGGGAGGAGGGAGAATGAAATCTAGTCAGCATGGGATGAAAATTCCTTAGGATGAGACATGTACATATTAACACACACAGGAATCTGAAGAACAATGAGTAGCTAAAAAATCATGCTTGTGAAACCAAATTAGCTGCATCTTGATCCTTAAAGGGGGCAGGCTAAATAAAGTGTAGAGGACTACAGCTGTAATAAGTTTTTAAAATTAAAATCTGTCTAAGCCAAGTAGCTCCATGGTCTATTCTGGCAAAATCTAAGCTGATCTTTTAACAATGCAAGAAGTCTAAAAAGGCAGCTGATCAAGTCATGAACAGATCTGAGCAAGCCTTCATAAAACACACCCCAGGCCCATGTGCAGCATCAGAAGAAATTCTTCTTGATACTCATTATCCTCTACCCAGTTGTCCTGGTTCTCCTGGGACAAGAATGCCAGCTCAGCCATAGTACATAGGCCACCAGCACTTTCAAGTCAGGCAGGAAGAGCAAAAGTCAGGGCAGCTGGCCCGAGCTGGCTCACAGGTATGTTCCGTGCTACAAATGTCACCCTCTTTACAAATGGGGAAGTTTGCTGAGGACAGGGACTCCTTCTCCTCCTTCCCCTTCTCCTGCTCCTCCAAGCAATACAGCTGATTTTACGCTTATTTCTGTGTGCAGAACTGGATGAAAGAAAAATCTGGAAGCGATGAGGTCTGCATATGATTCAGCCACGCCAGCCAGCACTAAGAGCCTCTCTGCCTTTTGCAGCAGCAAATTCTGTAGTTTGGTCCAGTATCTCAGCAAGTCTCGAGTTTCCTGTCAACCTCCTCGACAGCTTTTGCTCCATAAGCCTTCAAGGAGCTACACACCTGCTAAGTTACTCAAGTCTCATGAAAAACTTCAGATAGAAGCACTGAATTACAACACAGTGGAAGGTGAATCTATCCAAACAGCAGAAAGTGAGGAAGGTGTATATTTCTTAAGTGCATATGCCCTCATGTTTTGTTGAAACATTTTCAGGCTGTTCAGTTTCTTTTTTCGGTGAAGCGAAGTGCAGCAATTAGTACCCAGAAACCGCAGGGCTGTCACTTCAAACACATGCATCATATTCTTTTGCATTTGCAGCAAGTCAGAAAGCTGTTTTTGTTGACATGGCTGTTTTGCAGTGCTCAGCACTAAAGAACATTATCACATTTTCCACGGTAGGCAGAAATGGAAGGAGCAAGTTCCACAAAATACGTTCTTTCTCAGTCTTGACTGGGCTTGACTTTTGGCAAGTTCTCTACCTAAAGAGCTGACTGCAGTGCGAAACTGCAAAAGCTAAGAAATACCACTGTTTACATAGGGCATAAAGGACATCTAGAGCTTGGTTCCCAGTTGTGCATTCAGCTCATTTTTCCCCTCTGTTCTTCTAAAAGTTTCTTGCGGGCATAACCCAGATGGAAACACAGCATCTGAGTTACAACTCCAGGACCTCAGGCATGACAACTTCATGAACTCTAGAGCCCAAACATTTTTAACTGTCTGCAGCTCTCAAATGTGCCAAATCTTTCAAGATTCAAAACTAGTGAATGAATGACACCGTGATGCATTACTCTGAAGCGCTTTCATATTACTTGCTGCATCACTTTCACATGCACTTTGATATTAAAGGATTTGTAATTTAAGGACAGACAAGCTAAAGTATCTTACTACAAATTTTGATACAAGAACCCTAATCTATAGAGGAAAGAAGGGAAGCTAATAATTTCAGAAGAATATAAATTGTGCTCCAGTTACACAGAACTTAAGCTTTTCCAAGTTCTGTGAAAGTCTTGTGAAACACCATCGGAGTGTTATAAACCAAACTCAGATTTTCTTCACCCACTACAACTAAGTGAATTGGAACATGAGAGGGTGTCAAGCCGAATGACAAAATCTGAATAAACATAACCCTTCATGCAAACTTTTGTTCACAGAATTTGACGTTATGTAGCATATAATTTAATGGAAAAGTCCTCAAGCGTTACAATCATGATACTTCCTTTGCTATTTGTGGGTAGAAACTAAACCCACAAAAAGCAACTCTCCCGAGGCACAATAGGAACATTTAAGCCCACTCATTCTATGAGATCCCACTAAAACCAAAAATACGTCAGATATAAATAAACTCCTAGAAATCCACCACATTCTCAAGCAAGATAGATGCATACTAACAAAAGTAAGTTAAATTAGTCTCCAAAATTAAAAAAGAAGAATCAGAAAAAGGGGAGATCAGAACCAAAGCCCCAGGGTCCAATTAATAACAGTTTCAAAGTGAATTCAAAGCACTTATGGCACTTAAGAAATCTGGCATCCACTGTCTTTTTGAGGCTTTATATCTGGTTCCTTCAGAGGTTTTACTTCTTCATCTGGTTTTGGTTTAGCCTGCAAATAAGAAGAAAAGAAAACCTAAATACCACAAGCACAAACCACTGCGTCTGCACAGTATTTATGCACAGCTAACTTTACACATTCTAGTCTAATAGCCCTCTCTCTTTTCAAGGCTGAAGGCTTTGAGCAAGCCTCAAGCAAGGGAGGAAAAGCCAAATATTCTTTATTTCAGCATGCTTAAATGAATCCTTTTCAAAAAAGAATCATTCTATAATATTCACTCCTGTAACATTTTAGCATCTTATATACATTAAAGAATATCCTCCTATTCAGGACTTGAGGGAAAAAAAAAGAAAAATACTTTTAATTTCCAGATGCTGACAGTGTGGCAGAGAGGGTAACTGACTTGCCTCCTGGCACCACAGAAACATGAGCTTGGGCAGCAGCCTCGTGTCTACAGACTGCACTGAGCTGGGGAATATTACAGAAGAGCAAAATAATAATTCTGTATTATACACAGAATAAACCTAACGGGATAGATCAGTACATAAGATTATCTTACAGTGTCATCCTTTGGCCTCTTGGTGAGATCAAATGCTGCAAGTGTTTCAGGAGTCCAGTGTGCGTTCAAGGCAGGAAATTCAAAAGGAACAGGCTCTACCAAGCCATAGTTTGCCTTCAGTTCCAGCTGGGGAGCCTCCGCTGGCACCTTCTGAAAATAGCTGTCATAGAATACAACAATACATTTAAAACAGCGCACTGTATCTGCAAGTCTCGTTTGCAGTTCTAAGAGAAACAGTCTGGGTTTTTACAGTGGCAGTCACGGCTGCTCTCTTCCATTTCATTAAGGCACCATCCAGAACACATTCTGACAGAATCATAAAATCAAAACCAATTCCTTCTTGGTATTTTTCATCCCCTAAAAGCTAGGTGGGTTTTTTTCCTACTTGATAATGATTATGCCCAGCGCTTCAATGAGAAGAGCACCTTTTGTCCAGAAAGACCGTCAAAACCCAAATGAGGATTTAAAATGCTTCCCAAGAAACACGATGACAGTTCTTTTCCTAAGTCAGTCTTAACGTGCCACAGTGCGTAACAGCAACGACACTGCAACATCCACAAAGACCTGCTACAACACAAAGCCTGAATGAGGGTACAGATCTACCCTTGGCAAACCAACAAGGGCTGAAAACTGACAAATACTGACATGTGCTACCTTACTTTTGCGCTGCAGTAGAGCTCTGTGGCAGGGACACCTCCTGAAACAGTCACTGGTTATCTGGTTTCTCTTTAAAATCTCTTTCTAGGGGGACGTGGATTTGTTGAAATCTCCTGTCTGCTGCTGTTGTAAGCTACGACAACGGTTATTGGAACCAAAGCAGAGTAGAGAATTTGTTTTCCTATTTGCAGTTTGGCTTAAGGTACTTGACAATCCTTCTTGTTCAGTCAATATCCCTCTTATATAGGTCTTTAAATATTATAAAAAAGGGAAATAGCAAACCCAATATGGAATACAAAATCATAGGGGGAGGGAAAAAAAGAAATGAGCAGAAGAATTCTAAAGCTAAACTAAGCTTGCTATTTTAAACTGCTTTCAAGCTCTTTTTGGAAGGAGTATTAACTAACAGAAAGCCCAATTCACAATACTAATTATACTTAGACTGGTAAAGCACTAAGCATATTCTTCACTGTAGGCATGACTCTGTTTTGACTTTTCTGCTAGCAAAACAGAATCAGCTACCAGTCTTCTCAACCTCCCCTCTATCCAATTTTGACTCCCAGATCCCAGCAGTTGGGAGGAGGACATCTGAGCAACAGGCAAGCTCTGCAGGACTTTCAGACAGAAGGAAAAGGAACAAAGCGGCTGAGGAAGGAAGGAAGAAAACTGCTAAACCTCTCCAGTACGTCAGTCCAGCCTACCTGGCTGAACTGGCACAGAACACAGAGAGGGTGATAGCACAGACCCACAGCAAATCTGCCAAGAGAAAATTATAGAATTGCCAATTTAAGTTATACACCATGCCATAATAGAATATAAAAACTGGAGATTAATATTTACCATCCCATCTTGAAATAAAGGCAAATGAGGTAAGACCAGTACATACAGAATACTACACCAACCGCTAATTACTTACATGAATCCATTCTCTCTCTGGCATTTTTCTAGCGTGTTCTTAATCAAACTTCCTAATTTCCTAAAGAAGAGATGTCCAGAAGGTTTGGCAGTAGTCCCGGGCCCTTTAGTTTCTCCATATTCTTTGCACAATGCTTCAGCCTTGGCAAAAACTTTGCAAATAAAAAAGAAATGTAATAAAAATCATTTACATGGTTCTGATCTACAGCGCTTCAGTTTTAGGAGTTATCGGAATCCATCCAGGCTTCTTGCTTCTTAGAAACAAAAATAAACTAGCTCAAAGGCAGCACTTCCAGACAAGATTTACTGCACCCAAAATGTGACTGGGGAAAAAAACAAAAAACAAAAAAGGTAGCTTTTTGGGTAGGAGGATGCAGGAAAGCATTCTTACACGTGAGGCAAAATGCAACAGTAAGTCCAAGAACTGCGCCACGTGGGAAAAAGAGAGGGTATGAAGGTGTCCATACACAGCTGACGCCCCAAAATAAAAATGTGGAGTGGGAAAAGAAGCACACTTCTCTGAACAGCCGGCACAGTAAAAAACACAGTGTTTGTTTCATGGCAAGTAATCCAAATCAGTTTGTTCTTAATAAATTATTTTATTTTTTAGAATTAATATTCAAAGCTTCCAATTTGACGATTTGAGCATTTTTCTTAAATGATCTCTAAGGTCCCTTCCAGCCTAGGCCATTCTATAATTCTATGATTCACACACTGTGGTGAAGTTATGCGGTCCAGGTCGTTGGAGTAGCAATAGCTTTGAGGAGAGAAGGATGGGCAGAAGGGGGGATCTCATCATGCTCTATAATTACTTGAAAGGACATTGTAGAGAGGTTGGTGCTGGTCTCTTCTCACCGGTAATCAGTGACAGAACCAGGGGGAATGGTTTCAAGTTGCAACAGGGCAGGTTTAGGCTGGACATTAGGAAGAAATTCTTCACAGAAAGAGTGGTCAGACACTGGAACAGACTGCCTAGGGAGGTGGTTGAGTCGCCATCCCTGGATGTGTTCAAGTGTCATTCAGAGGGGGTGTTGGGTGATATGGTTTAGGGGTGACCTTGTAGTGTAGGGTCAATGGTTGGACTCAATAATCCCAAGGGTCTTTCCCAACCTCAATTGTTCTACGATTCTAGGATAAGACCCTAAACTGCTGTAAACTTCCCATAATCTACCTTTCAAACATCTAGAAAGGAAATTAGTTACTGAAACCTGTTTAAAAACAAATAAACATGGTCTAGATTTATTATTTAATGAAAGATAGAGCGACCTCCGAAGCAGAAAAGGTGGCAGTAACTTAACATAGAGGCCAGAAAACATGATGAGCAGACAATTGATTTTTACACTGCATTGCAGGCAGTCCAAAGTCGGTCTTTAACACGCTGAGAAGTGAAGATGAAATTTTCTGCAGCACTGTTAGGAAAGGCAGTCTTAATAAGACCAAAAATAATATACTGTCTCTATTTAAAAGTGTGCTGGACTTCCATCAGGTGACAGATAAAACCTTAAGTTTATGGGAGACCAGATAAACACAACGCAGCATAAGAACACACACATGTTGTTTTCATCAGCCCCTCTAATTCAGTCTCAATCACACTTACATTTTTCCGATTCCTGTAGAGATCTGATTGCTTCCCCACATTTATCACTCGCCAGTAAAGTCTGACCATGGTAACAGTATGCCTAACGGGAGAGGACAAAATCATTACTAACATTGTTACTGAGCCTAGAAGAAATGAAGTATTCTCCTGCTTGAGATATTTTGTCATATTCCAAATAACTTCTCTACCCTAAAAAGTCCTATTCATTCACCTTTATGCTTGAAGATAGTACTGTATTCCAGTGAGAACCAAATTGCCTCTTTTCTGCTATCAGGAGCTGCTGAGTTTAAATGCTAAATATCATGGATGAAAGAAGAACCCCATGAATTCACATCTGCCTTGCATACCTTCCTTCATTGTTTGTTCTCACATGTTACCTAAATCTACTATTGCCCACATTACACAAATAAAGTACCAAAAAGTACATGAATAATAAAAGAAGGGCGATAACCCTCTCTCAAATTTGCCAACAAGGCAAGCAGCTTTCAGCTACAGGTTTAACGTATGAAAAAGACAATTGTGTTAACTGCTTAGCATGGGTCTTTTGTTGCAGTATGAAAAAGCCACATTACAGGCTGTGGAAGGCTGCAAGAAATAAACAGTGAATTGAACAGCTGATGACCCCAAGAGTGCCATGGCACTTGCTAAGAGATCCGTCACACAGAAAGGGACAGCACTTGGAATGACTCACTTGAGGGAAGAGATGCCATCC